TCCCAGTCCCCAGAAACGACACTGTGGGACCCAGATATAAAGGGCCCTGGGGAGAAACAGAGTGGTGATATCTGGGCGTCGTGGCAAAAAGGTGTATTTCACTTTAGGCCTGAGTAATCGCACTCGATACCGCAGCGGTGGAATAATGAATAGGAAGTGGTTTATCCACAGGAGGAATAAGAGTGAAGTTATTATATCGATCGGGTAGGTAAGATTATTTTCTCCAGCGGCAGACTAAATACTCAACGTTTTTGACACTATACTATTTAACAGACGCATTAGGGCGCTGCTGCATTTGGCAGTATGACAGTAGTATCTTCGGGGATCTAGAGTCCACTAAAGGTCAAAAACCCCACTGTTATTTGGATTTGGATTTCAACCTATTTACTAACTAGAGGATGGTTAGTGAGATAAATTCCCAAATGTGCTCAGGGTGATGTCAAATTACCACCCAAGCGACTCTTCTCCATCAGAATAAAACTGGGTTTGTTCATCGAGACTGGCGCCTCACTTCACTAGGACTGTTTTAGTTGTTCTCTATACTGAGTTGGCATTTGCACACAGATCCTCTTTCATGGCTAAAATGAAACTAGGGTTTTCCTGGCTCACAAAGAGAATGATTTCTCAAAAGCACAGTTTACTATACAGTATCTACTCCCCACGGATATATCTGAGATATCAGCCTTAGGTTTCGTGTTCCCATAACCCGGAGGACAATGTGTGTTGCCCCGATCGAATAATCCTTGACCGGACAGCCTTATATTGTTTGTAGCCCTCAACTAGCTATAGGTGGGGGAAGCCCTCTATGATAAATGGTATTTTCAACTACTGATGCCCATGTCTTGCGGAATTACCGTGAGCAGCCTCCTTCGGTGTTAGAGGCTATCGTATTTAAATAGTACTGCGCATGCTTTCGTTCGACCGGAGACATCGCGACTGACGAGAATGGGTGCGTGCAAGTATGATACCAAGAAGGTAACTGCATTAAACGAAGATCGAGAGCATAGGGCTAGGGGTAGGGTTTCTCGAGCCAATGAGTCCAGGACGGGGGGCTTTGCTTCGATTCTAAAATGGCCTTGAGCCCCTTGTGACCATGATGATCTCCAAGATAAGGGAGTGCCTACTGTGGAATGATAGGACCGCCCTGTTTGCACTTTTCACTTTGATTAACGGCACAGCGCAAGGTCAGGCAAGGGGTTATGAAACAGTTACCTGAGGTTAACCGGCCAACTGCATCCCTGGCTTTTCCGGTTAACGGGTTCCTACCCTTGTGCTTATTCGAGGTGTTGGACCTGGGAGAAGAGGAGCTCCTTGTATCATTCACTCTCACTCGACAAATGCATGTCGGGAATCGAGTTCTCCTCCTCGCCGACTGGAAGTCGCTCCACATCGGTGGAGCAAACCACAGGGATTCGGGATACTTGTACCCGAGTACGAGTACATTTTCCGGGATTCTTCCGATGAAATTAAGAAGTTTGCCGTAAATTACTGGGGGCAAGTTGCCCCGAGATTTCAGGTGGACACTCGCTCCCCAGGATCCCCTGAAATGTAGGGCTGAGCTCACTTCACTTATCATACTGCACATGGTATCTTAGCAAACGAGAAAGAAGGGATAAGGGTCATGAGTCACATGTACTGTCCAAATTGTGCGCCAAAGGCTGAGAGAAACCCTTTCTGCAAACGGTGAGTTATCCTACGAACGCAGAAACCGATAGGATACCGGTACTCTATGAGTACAGTACATCCGGAATTTGTTGTCTCCAAGGCCGAAAAAATCTATTCAATACTTATCCCACCGCCTAAATATAGGATGAATGTACTCTTCCAGCATGCCATACGGGTATTCTACTCTACGTTAAGGGCGCTCTGTGGCGTTTACCTTATCTGAGGCTCAAACACTCAGCGCAGACCCAAATTCCGCCATAGCACCACATGGGCACTCCTTCCGGGGGAGATCGGGTACCAGTATATCTTAACCCTGCCCCGCCGAGTGGTACAATACCGGCAGTCATTCTCGGCGCATGTCCAAACAAGTCCCCGACTGTCGCAAGGCGGGCAAGGTGCCAAATCGGTCGGCCCTTGCCCCCAACTGAGCACAAGATTTTGGATGGTATTTTCGTTCGGCCCCCCCTGCTGAAACGGACCCATTGTGCGCTACGGCGGAGGGAGATCTTCCTCCATAAAGCCCTAGCTGAGCGATTGACATTTCCGTCCACAAATCAGCTCAAACCTCTTGTTGCTAGGCCTGGTAATATTCGGGAGGGGTGCTAAAGGGGCATAGCGGTTTTAGGGTTCAGCGCTTGTGCAGTTAGAACATTGATCTGCATTGCGAGCAGCTCTGATTTATCCCCGGTTTCTCTCAAAGTGGTCAAAGTGGTATTATACAGTACAAGGCTGGTGTCAATATTCTGTTCGAAAAGTCCGCCCGCCTAAACCTAGCAGCAGGTGGAAACAGATTCAATGAAATAAAAAGAGACCGATACTGATCCAGAGCCGACAGCTGTAGGGGGATCGGTGGTTTGCCCTCTACGATACCGTAGTCAGCAGTAATCGGGCAGCCGGATAAGAAGAATTAATGCAGCAGCAGCAGGCGGAACTTTCGGCCTGCCTCATGGCGACCATCGGTGTTCTGGCAAAGTTCCCTCTTCCGAACCTGCAACAGGAAAAAATACCGTGCTTCATACAAGTACAGTACCGGTACTCGAGTACGGTGTTACGAGGGTGAGCACCATATGGGGACTCGAGTAGTCTACGAGTACGGTCTTCGCTCTCACTCACTCGCTGCCTACGCGGTGAAGCCCTAGCCCTAGCCCTAGCAATAATACCATCGCCGATTAGCCAGTAGGGTAACGAGACGCGGATTGGCTTGGAAGGCGCGAAGGGTACGAGTACTCTCGAGTAGCTTAGGCTAGACGCGTACGCGCGATCACTTGACTCTGGATGAGTATGGGATGATCAAGTACCGGTATTTTTATGGGATGATGATTGCGGTTGACTGCCTTTGGTGATAGCGGTGCTCCGCGGTACCGTACTCAAGTACGAGTACTCGAGTAGAGTCACTACCGGACCGCACTTTGTCACTATGGTTTCTTCTGTCCGGCGTGGCTGTGTCGATTGCGTTGTGTTGGCCGTGCAGACGCCAGCAGCATGCAAGTCGAACGAAGAGTTTTGGGATGAAAATTCGCTCCAACTGCCGGTATGGCCCAAGTGCAAGTATCGGGATTTCATACGGTATTTTAGCGACTGTGCTTCACTTTTGGATGGGAAGAAAATTTTGAGGTACGGCACCAGTATCTATTAGAACTAATGTTTCCATCAGCCATCAGCCACACGTTTTTGTGAGGCAACACTATTGTAGGGGTTGCTGGCTTTTTCTATTGTTGATGGTTTGCAGGGGTTAAATTATGGGATACGGAAAGCACTCGAATACCGGTACCCAGCTGCTGTCATGCTGCAATCACTTTCTCCTTCTGAACCCCATTCTCCTAAGGCTTATAGGATTGGGTTACTATAATATACAAGTATTTATTCACCATAGGTGCCATCCCCGCAATATCGCTCGAAAAGACTTCATAATTAAGTGATGAGAGCGTTTACGAAGACCGGATTCCATATTCCTGGGTAAGATGGGTACGGGCGGAGCTGTACGAGTACTCGATTCAAGATAATTGTACGATATAGTGCCGTATTCTCTTGATTTCGCCTTCGGTGCCTGCGTATGTACGGTACCGTACTCGAGTATGCACATCGACTTGCAAAAGTTTGTTTTTTCTCTCTTGGTAAACTTTGATTTGAAACGCAATGAGTTCACCCCTTGTAATTCGAGCGGTAGAGATGGAGGCGAGGATGGGTGTGATGAACAACTCTTCCCCCCCTCCCTCATTGACTTTTTTTGTGATTGTTTCACACGTGTGGGTAGGTGGTGATGGTTGTGGAGGTGGTGGTGATACGATTTATTTTCAAATGCCACGTTGGATACGGGATGCGCAGTCTGGAGCACGTAGTGGGTCACGTTCTCGATTTTTTGCAGACTACTACAGTTTTTACCATGCGAAGGCGGCAGAGAAGAGAAGTGTGCGGAGGAGGCGGTTGTGAAAAAGCTGATGATGACGATGATGCAGAATGTTATTATCGTGTTTCTTGAGTTGCATTCCGCGGGGCATGCGGGATCCGTGGTGGGTTGGGGGAACCAGTGGTTTTGCAAACGGAGTTCGTGGGATTTTAAGGCGGTTTGCAGCTTTGGGCAATTCTTTTCTGTATCAAAGGTTCGGTTGCTGGAGCGCATGGTATGAACTCGGAGCCTTACTGAATTTGGGTTGTACTGGTACTATGCGAGGGTAATACGGGGGCGGTAATTTACAGTAGTCTGGCTATTCATAGGAAAACTGTTCAAGAATTGAGTGAGGCTCTGTGGAGTGAAGGAAGGAGGGAGCGAGTTGAAGGGCTAACTTATTGTGTTAGTTCCCTTTTCTTCCCCTCTCATCGCCTCCGATTTCGTAGACGATCAACCCCTTCACTCCTTTCAATCAATCCTCTTGCTCGTCACTTGCTCTCTTGCTCTCTTCTCCTTCCCCCCTTCTCATTAGTCGAGTTCGACTAGTTTGGTCACTCATTCGGGTTCATCTTCTCTGATACTCCTTCTTTCCCAGGTGAACTACTCGCTTTTCCACTCTTCTACGCCTTCTCCCTTCATTCATATCATATTCTGAGCTGTTTTCCTACCTGTGATATCCTGCAGCAGTTTCTGCATTTTTCTCCCTCTGGGGGAAAACACCCACTTGATTCGTTCGCCTGTTCGGCAAAGATTAAAAAAAAAAAAAAAAAAAAAGTGTGTGGGAAAAAGGGTTTTACTGTCCTGCGCGTTTATTCGTCTTGATTGCTTTTTCTTCCTCAATCTTCTAACGTAACTTTCGTAACTGTGCCCACCCCAGTCCGAGACACAGATATAATTCCACCCCAAACCGTTTGGCCCAATCGTAGAGGGTATCATACCACTCCCGATGGCCTATCGACAACAAACCGCCGCAGCCCTCTTCGCCAGCACAGCATCACAACCACCGCCAGTCACAGCAACCCTAAGTCTGAGGACAGGTCGGTCCAACAACGCGCATCGACCTCCCTCAGAGCCCACCGACAGCTGCGACAATGCCCGTAATGGCAGTACCCTCCTGTCGGATCGGCCAGCCAAGACGCCCCATGATCCGCTGTCTGGCGTACACGATGCAGCTCACACAGCAGGCGGCCAAGTGGCAGCAGAGCCGGGTGCAAGGCATGGGGAGCCTGTTCCTTCAATCTCTCTTCCTGCTTCTGCTTCACAACCCTCTCCACCGCTTCCTACTTTCACTGTAGCTACTGCTGGACTGGCCCGCAATTTCTCACACAGGTTTGCCGTCCAATCGCAGCCTATCAAACTTACTCGGTCCAGTTACGCTACCGATGAAACGTCAGCTTCTCGGCCACCACTGCTGTCCTCTACTGTTTCCTCTTGGCCCACTGTTATTGACGATTCCCCTCCGCTTCCCTCCTTGCCGTCAAACTCTTCCCTCGAGCCACCGTCAAAGGACGCGGAATCATCTACGCCGCACCGTTTACCCTCAGCTCAACGTTCACAGACCCCAGTAGTTCGCCCTGCCTCGCTCTTGCACACTTCTTCAGCGGAGTCTCCTTCCGTAGCAAAAGCAGGGCCAGCACTGTTGTTTGGCGATAGCAACAACTATCACAACAGCAACGGCGATAACAATAACGAAAAAGAGGCGGGGGAGAAGCAGATACACCAGCAGCAATTGCTGTACAACCCCTCTCGGGTTCCGTCCCATTCTCCTCTCTCCACCGGTACTGCATTTGTCCTTCCAGAGTTAGACCTAGACGACCCAAACTTGGACTTGGATCGATTGTGCGTCGGATATTCTCCCAGCACACTAGACACTGAACAGCTTGTTGCGATGACAACTTCAACCTTCCAGTATACCCCTCCTTTTCAGCCTCCGCTACCCCCTCCGCCCCCATATTCCGAGCCCAGCGCCGGAGGGGGGTTTTCGTCGCCGGACCTGGGTTTCCCGGGGTCTGGGGTGGATGGATTCAGTGGCCCAACCGCAGACAGCTTACACGATGGTGACAGTCCTAGGCAATTCCGAAATTCTCAGCAATCCACCATGACACAGCCCACCCCGGCGCAAAGCTTTTCCCGAAAGGTCTCCACAAAGATTCGCGGCTTTTTAAATCACACCCACCGAAGTAGGAGTCCGAGTTCGCGGAATAGCACTGCAACCGTTGCAACAGTATCAGAGGATAGTCACATTTCATCTTCCCTCCCTGTCGCCAATGATAATAAAGGGAGCAAGCATGCATCGCCTGTGGTTGTACCAGTGGTGGCTTCTGTGACTACAACCGTGACTGCACCCGTCACTGCCTCTCTCGTCGAGCCTGTCTCCTCCACGGCAATGATGGAAGCGTCCGTCAATGCTGCTGTGGATGATTTCATGGATGCTCACACTGACATGGAGGTCCCCGTTGTCATGCCGATGATGGATGCTGTAGATGATCGTCTCAGGTCTCAAGAGTCTCAGACCTTTGATGGCCATATTCCGATAATGAACGGCTGTCAACCAGATAGCGAGATCCGTTCTGGCCATTCTTCATATATTTCGTTGGATTCCCCAACGTTGGCCACTGAGTCTTCCGGTAATCCCAGCAATCGCAATTCATTCAGAAGTTTTGCACAGGAGGAGCGACCGCGGTCGAGGTCTCCTGAAAGCCCCGTTACGCCGGATGATGATTATAGGTTTAATAATCGGATGCCAGATTCGAAACCCAAATACCATGCCGCGGCGGAATTACAGACGGACTATTCTCGCGATGAGGAGAGCACCCACGATGGCGTCGAATCGCAGGTTGTACCGGTGTACTTGGATGAGAGGAATGAATCGAGGAATGGTATGATTCCTTCGCTTCTCATCGAGACTGCATCGCCTACTTGCAGACTTCACCCAGATCATCCAGGATCGTTTATGGCCCCGCGGCCCGCGCCTCGAAGCCCCCGAAATCGGCCCGCCTCGATGCGTTCAAGATCTCCAAGCCCGGCTCCGATTATGAGCCCTTTGAAGAGTTTACTCCCGGAGTCGGGCCGAGAAACTCCGTCCTTTTTAACGCCAAGGCCTGCTCCAACCACTCCCATACCCTCGCCCGGGTACGGTCCGGTAAAACCTTTACGATCTCCCACCGAAACCGGACCGAAGCTTCTCCGAACGAGCACAATTTCCTCTAGGTCAGCTGGAGCGAATCCTACACGAGCACCCTTGTCACTCAACCCTCGTGTACGATCTCATGTCTTTCCATCTGCACGACCATCCACTGCCAGCAATTCGGTTTCAGAAATTAGAAGTTTTAGAGAAGTATCCTCATTAAACCGCGTGCTACCACCACCCGAGAGATTGAGAGAGCACGATGAGATCTCCATCATTTCGCTTGGTCCCCCGAGCAGTCCAAATCAATTGCATGACATCGATCATAATTTCCCCCCGATGCCTATGCCGAATTACGCTACATCGTTAAGGAAATCGGGCTCAATTCGTTCAGCTTCTGGGCGAGCGCTTGAGATTGCTGTTCCACCACCATTAGACTCTCGAAGTATCTATGATTCTAGAAGCATGTTTGATGGAAGAAGTATTTTTGATAACCGTAGTATTCTTGGTGCTCGAAGTGTGAAAACGGCTTCACCAACGACAATTCCGGATGATTTCAAGAGTATGACATCGCCAAAATACCATCCTGACGATGCACCACTGTCACCGGCTGTCTACTCACCAGACGCAGATATTGAGAGAGACCTTCCCCCACGGACGCCACCAACGGAGCCTGAGGTGATTCCAACACCACCACCCGTGTTAGCTCCAGTCGCTCCCGTACAGGTTGCGCCTTCTGCACCAGTCGCGGCCTTGGTACCGCCTCCCCCTGAAGTGAAGCGCCATAGCACGGTTAGTAAAGGACTCCGACGAGCGTTTAGTCGTCGGAGATCTACAAATAAACGTACAGCCGGGCCGATAACTGGGGAGATCATTTCCCGACCATCTACTTCCGCTACTACCGCAACGTCTGTAGGTGCGGCCCCCGAAGACGAGCCGTCGGACGACAACATGTCCGTGAGGAGTCGATCAATGATGAACCCGTTGACGCCCCCGCCATCCTCACCTACTGCCTCAGTATCCCGATGGAAGTCCGTACGCGGGCGGAGCTCATCCACCTCGTCAAGCTCTACCCCATCCTCCCAGCCGCCAGCGGCCCTCCCACCGAGATTTAAATTGGCCTCGGTTCCGGAAGCTGCAAAGCTTACCCCAGAGGAATTGGTCGAGATCGCGCGAATGCCAGGAACCATATTTATTAGGACCAGTATGGTCAAGGAGGATGCAGACCAGGACTCCACAAGGGAGGAGGACCTTATCTGCATGGAGCACAGAATGAAGCCAAGGAAGGGAATGGCGGGAACCGGCGTTGCGGGAAGGTGTAGGTTTTGCGGGAAGGGACCATTCCTGAATATGTGGGTGTGCATGGATGCATGCCAGTTTGTCATGTGCAGGATGTGTGCGAACGAGAAGGTTCAGGCGGGAGAGGCGGAGTTGTTTTGAAGAATTTGTGTGAGTGCGGTGTGTAGTGAGAGAGAAGTTGGAAGGACTAAGAAGCTCGTGGCCCTGTAGTTGTGATAATTGTTGCATAGCGTGGTTCTTTTGGATTATTTTCCCCCCTTTGCTTTGTTCAGTCAAACGTTGAGTTTTTCCTATCATCCTTTTCCTTTTGTCACGACATCGTGGTGATGTTGGGAGTAATATCAGCGAGCTGAAATTACAAGTGGATGGATGTGGGGTTCGATGTGCCTATGATGGGAACTGTAATGGAGGAACATGGGATGGTCGGTTTAGTATGGCCTGGTCTGGAATTGAGGTATTTTGCATGGGGGCGTTTTTTAATATTATCTTCAACTTTACTTGGTCCGTTTTTTTTATATTTTTTTATATTTGACTTCATTTTCGAACCGTTTATATATCTTTTTGATTGATTCCGCCTGCTTCGATTTGGGTTTTTTTCACTGTGTGGAATTTTTTATCTAGTTATTCGAGGAAATAGTCTTTTTCTTTATTGCATTCTATTTTGTTATATCTTCGATATCAGCTAAGAGTGTTGAGGTTGGTTGGTGGGTTTGCTGCTCCTGGAATCCGGGGGGATTGGGGGGGGTCTTGTGGTGTGGTGTGTGGCGCGGGAAGAAACATGAAGAGGGTGTAGCACGATAGCTGGATGGTTGTTCATGGGGACTCACTCGAGCATGCAGCATGGTGATTTCTTATTATTTGAATGCGGGGGCTTTTTTTTCTTTTTTTCTTTTTTTTAAAAAAAGCCTACATACTGTATTATAAGGACTGGGATACAGTAAGTACAAGTACCAGTGTTCGAACAATCAAACCATGCGCTTTGAAGTCGATTTCGAGTTTTGAAAAATGGGATCGTGGGAGAGAGTAAGCACTGTCTTGGATACGTTATCAATACAAGACAAGAGACAATTTCGACACGAGAATGGAGGGGAAAATTAAGTAATAATGTGTTTAAAAGCGCCTGTAGTTTTGGTGGAGATAGGGGTGGGTTTGGTTGGTTGACTTTGCGGTTAAGAAATTATTAGTTTGGAAATACTATCAAGAGAGTAGTAGTAGTAGTAGACTGATCCTGTGCAGGAATTGGATGTAATGATTTAAGAAGAGTTACAAAAGGTTAACTTATTATAACCTGTTTTGATGTATTGGAAAGATGATTTAAAAAAGACAATAATAAGTTCGGGAAGAAAAATAACTTGTCATTTAAACAGATAACTTTTGATATATCATTAATCTGTTATGGTATTAATGTAGCTTTTATAACTATGATGGACTAAGTCTGCTACCAAGTTGAGTAAATAAACTAGGACCTTGTATCTTACAATTACCTGATAGAACCTTTAAAATAAGTATACTATAGGTAAAACTTTAGTACTATGTAATAAACTTATAAAATATATAAGTTTATTAAAAAGCAGATGGCATTGTAGAACATTGAGAGTGAGGAAAAGTATAGATTTAATCAAGTCAACTTTCAGGGTTAGGAAAGTAATAATAAGTGATCTGGCTAGAGATGTTAGGATAGGGGTACTCAAATAATAATAAAAATTACTTGTATTCTTGAAGGGCAAAATAGCAGTAACTATTATGACTATTAGAAGAGAATATGATTACTATAAAATAATTCTCAAATTTAATTACAAAGCTAATGTAAGTACTGTAAAAACTCTTACAATTTACTATTACAGGAAGAGGGAGAATGTCTGGTAGATGCTGAATTGATAGAGGAGGGAATTAAACAAGGTGTGACTCATGAGAGGTGAGTGATAAGTTGTAATTTGGAAATTAACTCTCCATGTAATGTGATATAAAATTGAGTCTGCATACAAGAATACAATTAGTAGAAAAGTGAATGATAAAGATTTAAAAATGAGTAAGTGGGATGACTATTGGGAGAATCATCATGGTTTTAGAATAGAGAGTAAAATTAAAGAGTATAGAGATCTGAACTTATAAAAATTGTAATAGATTTTAGGGTATTGATGAGTGTAAATATGAGAACTATGAGAAGAGGATATTTTAATAGGGTACTATAAATATAAGATAAAGATGAAAGATATGCCATAGAATTCCAGTATCAAGAACAAGTACAGTACCTCAAGTCCACTATTTTATTTACTCTAATTTGTTACTTAAAGTCTTATGAATAATATCTCTGAGATAAATCTCAAAGAGAAATTGTAAGCCAAAACCTAAATCAATCAATAAAAGAGTTTTAGACAAATAAAAGCATCAATCCCATTGTGCAAGTAGAGCAAACCTACAGCTATAAGTAGAATATTTGTGCTCTTGCCTATCTTAAGTATAAGTAAGTTTCTTATGAGAAACAAACAAATTTCACAAACCAACCCAGCCAGAAATGGCAGATAAATTCTAAATTCAATAAAGAACTATTAGTGAATAAGTAAAAAGAAGGATATGATAGAAAAAGTAGAGATCAATATAAATGGACGAGTTCTGGATCTAGATATTGGTAATTATAGATAATGCTGGTAGCCAGAACTTGAAGAAAGCCTAGATAGCGACTTTCTTGAATAGTGAGGGGTAGAGGCAAATTGTGTGAAGGGAATAGTTTTGAGTTCAGATGAGTTTTTGGTTTCATAAGCTGTATCCTGCTAGGAATTCAGCGGGCTTTCTATTTAGTAATAAATAGTTTGCTGGGTTCCTAGGTCGACATCAAATTAGTTTATGTAATGTGATAAAAAAAATACAAAAAATTCCAGTTGAATATCCTGCTTTGGTACTCAATTGGCTCTAATTTAATTAGAGAAACTCATAGCCTTATATGAATAAGTTCTTAGAAACTGTACTTCAGCCACCAATTTAATTATTTCTTGGAGTTAAATATATACAGCCTTGATAAGACTTCAATCCTATATGAGTATTTAGATAGCAAGACTTAAAATTTGAAGAGAAAAATGTCTATTTAGGTAAAGGGCCAAAATGGTTGGGACAAGTACCAGGTATTACTGGTTCTCTGCATTTTTGCAGATGGAGTTCCATGAGTACTACTGATAATTATTTGTTTGTAGGAGAGAAGGAAGAGCAAGCAGGACAGGAGCTGTACCAGTACTATTCTGGTGTCGAGGTGTAATTTAATGATAAAGCCTATGTGAGTAATTAGCTTTTCTTGCATCATATTAATACCTACCTGATACCTATTTTAGGGGACAGTATACCATTTTCGCCTTGGACCTAATGGGGTCTCACAAAATACCTGTAGTACTTGAGAAGTTATACTATATTATATTTATTGAAATTTCTTTCCTATGTTATGTTTCAATATATATAATGATAAACATTATATTTTTGCTTACTTGATTATATTTCAATTAAAGCCTGTACACTGCGGACATTGCTGCAGCTAGGTCATATTTATGTTAATCTCATATACATTTCATTGAATATGGACATGAAACTTATAGGTTGTTTTCTTATTTGGTTATAGGATAAATAAGATTCTCTTTATCTTTTATGCATGTTCATGTATGTTGATTACATAGTAGATTGATAATATTTCTTTAACATTTCCTGCACTTTATCTTAAATTTATGCTCACTTTTGGGATTTTTCTTAGCAGGTTGTCAGGGTCAAATACATTTGCACTTATGTTTCTCTACCGAGAAACATATTCTTACTTATATTTCTTCTGATTATATTTCTTTTACTACGAGGTGGCATACTCTTATATAATAATATATAGGTACTACTGCCTGCATACCTTGCTTAGAAGAAGCAAGGAACAGAACCTCTATCAATCTACTTTCAAATTATACTACTTCTCCTAAGATGTGCCCTTTATATCCTCTTAATATCGTGTAGTTTACTTTAGATAGATATAAAATTGCACCTCTTAAGTCACAATTGCGAACAACTGTAACGATCCCCTTTTAGATAGTTAGTTCTTGGCGACGGGGAACGATACTTATCTTTTCTGTCTCCTTCTTTCTTTGTCTTACGATAGCTCTAGGTCTCTGCCTACGTTACCGATAGTACAAGACCTTTGTCTTCTATCGGAAATGCCTATCGTAAGCTTTCTCTAACTCGTCTGCGTGACAAGCGCTCCTTGTCGTAATGATATTGTTGCAATAAAGATAAAGATCGTAAAGATGTTTTATATTCTTTAAAGTAAGAAGTAGGAAAAGTACTTAGAACAAAGGGTGAAGAACCTATCTTCCTCGGCCGCATCGGCCTCCTTATATAGTATTCTTCCCGCCTGTAGTCATGTGACCTAAAGTGGTCACATGTGCGAAACCAAATCATAACAAACTAATCATGTGACCAAAGTGATCACATGCTCAAAACCCATGACCTTATAGCGAGGTCATGTACAAAAACCCATAAACCAATCATAACGCAATAAACAAGTCATATGACTTGACTGAGTCATATGCGCCAAACCTATGACCTCGTAATGAGGTCATGTGTAAAACATAAATCATATGCGCAAGGCTTACCTGCAAGGCATACTCGCAAGGCATACTAGTCAGGTGCACATCCCATGACTCATACTTGAGCCATGTGTGAAAGCATCACAAATCCCATACATAACAAATCATATGACCCTAATGAGTAGACCGCACTGTGCAGTACTGTAGCTCAGCCGACTCACCCACTA